TCTCCGTAGTAAGGGGGTTGGTACTGAAACCCCAATCCATAGTCTTCTCCCCATTGATTGCTCCAGGAAGTCTCGGGGTAATACCACTCAGATGGTGGTGGATACCCCCAATGGTTGGAGAAGCCATGAGGATCTATGATTCAGATCTGCACCAACAAAAACAAAAACACCCAAGCGAAAAGTAAGGGTGGAAAGAAAAGAAAAATGCTAAAGTAACAAACTTCTGCCTTTCCTAATAATCTAGAAAGTCCCAGGCAACGGCGTCAAAAACTTGACTTGCTATGACACAACTCCTAACAATGGCCAAGTGTAACCAATGAAGGGACTGCAGTATAGTGGCTCAAGTAATAAATATCGAATCCACGGGTGTCTAGAGTTACTATTACTCAGCTTTAGTTCATTATCTAGCAAACCAGATTAAGATGGAAGAACTAAAACTACTCTAGCAAACTACAGTTAAAGTTAATCTAATTACAGGTTGGGAACTCACTTATGTATGATTCCCCCTAGATTGCAGTTAGGCCTAGTTGTAATTCACCCAATTCAACGGACATTACACTGCGGAAAGTTCTCAAACAGTCTGGAGTCTCGACTAAAGTGTTCCAGACCCTCTCAGTTCGAAAACCCGGCGGGCGACTAACCTCCACCGGCGAAAGCTAACCGAGGCACTATCACACAAAACTTCCTCTACTGGATTTCAACTCCAGTACAGAGCAGTGAATCGACTTCTCGACTAAAGTCACCGATTCACCACTTCCAATTCAGGATGCTCTTTCAACCTATGCAGAGACTATCATTGTAGGTCAAAGTAGGAATCACAAGAATTTGATCAGGACTCAAGCAATTCTGAATAAAAACCTCAACTGAATATAGAATGTCAATCAATCATGAATTCGAGTTCATACAACTCTTCCTAGCATACAAATCTAGGGTTCCTCAAAACCTAAGTGAAGGGAAGTTACTCAATAGAGAAGAGAGAGAATGGAGTATAACTTTTCAGATCTTTATTCTTAATGTCTGGGCTTGTTCTTCGAGCTTCCAAGGCGAATAAATCCTCCAAGATCGCTCCAAGATCGTCCTCAAATCACTCTCTCTCTTTGGTTCGTCCCTTGGGTGTTTGGGAACCAAAACCCAGCTCCCCCCTCCAAAAACGCACAAAACAACATTTTAACTGACTGCGTACACGAAACCCGGTCCAAATACCTGGTTGGGTATTTAGGAAATCAGTCGGGTATCAACAAAGTGCACCAGGTCACTTTTCTGGGCAAAAGAGAAAATACCCGACCGAGTATTTTTGGGTCGCAACCGGGGGGCCTTCTGATGCTGCCAAAAATACCCTATCAGATGGTCAAAATACTCGGTCGAGTATTTTTAACCTACTGGGCGGGTATTTTTCGATTCCGGGTCTCCTATCTCTGATTCTTCGTTTCTCCCTTGTTCGGACTCCAAATCTGGTGCCGTTTGATCCCAGACGCTCGTAATCCCGTCCTCTTTCTTATCGTGACAAGATTACATGATTCTTTGGTCGCTAACAGAAGTAGAAATCCATTATTCTTCAAGTCATACCCGAGTTTCTTCCCCCGAGTCGCCAATTGATCTCCGATTGACTTGAAACTTGCGCCTACGCTTCACTTTATATGCTAGGACTTGAAACGTGATAAAGGAACACAACCTAGCGTAAAATAGGATAAATAAGCGATAATGCAAGCTCAAATGATCAAGAAACAAAGGGGAAAACATGTGTCAATATCGAATCATCAGAATGCCCGAGGGAATGAAGATTAGGGCTGAGTTTGCGATTTTGAGTAGCCATTTACATTTCAATTATTTCTTTTTTTGGTAAGAAATGGAGCGCTTGAAGGGCGCCCAACCTTTATTCATGAACATAGCAAAATCCTAGCTTTAGAATTCTCGGAGCGGCAATTTCTTCCCATCGCCCGTTTACCTCTACTTAACCAATTACCATGTCCGACCGTGTGCGGGGGCCATCCTCTGGCCGCCAGTCAGCATAATTCCAACTCCGAAATCCGGCGACCCTAGCCGGAGACCTCCTCTTCAAATGCCAAAGGCGACAAAGAAACCCAGGTGCCAAAAAAGAGGGCAAAGCCGATGGTGGACAATCCTCTATTTGGTGAAGGAAATATGGAAGAGGATATCCCTTCCACCAGGAAGGAGACGATGGGCTCGCCAACTTTGAAACACCATGAAGCAGCCTGGACTGACGGAGTAGCAAAAAAGCTTTTCGGCAACGTGTGAACTCTTTTTCCGCAGGTACTTGCACGTAATTGGTGATGAGGTGGTAGCTACGGTGATGCAGATTCTTGAGACAGGGGTCATGTCAGACAACCTCAACCACACCCTCATTGCTTTAATCCCCAAGACGAAGTAGCCGTCCTGGCCAAAGGAGTATCGTCCCATCAGTCTTTGCAATGTTTTATACAAGCTGGTCTCGAAAGTGCTGGCAAACCTAATAAAGATGCTCCTTGATAAGATTGTCTCCCCTCAGCAGAGTGCTTTCATGCCCATGTGATTGATTATTGATAATATCATGGCGGAGTTTTAGTGCTTTAATATGATGAAAAAGAGCAAGCAGCGGAAACATGGCTACTTTGCAACAAAAATAGACATAGCCAAGGCATATGACAGAGTTGAGTAGAACTTCTTTGAGGGTGTGATGCGGAATTTGGGCTTTGTAGAACAATGGATACAACTCGTAATGATGGGAGTCCGAACTATCTCGTATTCCGTACTTATGAATGGCCATCGCTCTGAGTCTTTCACTCCGCGCAGAGGGATACGATAGGGCGAACCTTTATCACCCTATCTTTTTCTGCTTTGTGCGGAAGGATTGTCGTCCTATAAAATAAAAGCAGTAAATGAGAACCGGTTTCATGGGCTTGAGGTGATGAGGGGAGCCCCGATGATTTCCCACTTGTTTTTTTTTCTAACGACAGTATCTTTTTTGCTAGGGCAACACAACAGGAAAGTCTAGAGCTGAAACATATTCTCCAGGACTATGCCCGAGAGTCTGGACAATTAATTAATTTCCAAAAGTCTGAGGTATCTTTCGTAGCTAATGTGAAGCCGCACAACAGACTCATCCTTGGAGGTACTATGGAGATGAAAATTGTGGAGATGCAAGATAAATATCTCGGTCTGGTGATGTAAGTTGGACGATCGAAGAAGGAGCTCTTTGTAGGACTTCGAGAAAGGGTCAAACAGAAGCTAAAGGAGAGAAGGAGAAAACAATGTCAGTTGCTGTTGGAAGTCATGATTAAATCTGTGGCACAAGCTCAACTCACATACCCTATGTTAGTGTTCAAAATTCCGAACGAAATCCTGGAGGAAGTGAATAGCTTGACTACGAATTTTGGTGGGGGCAAAGAGGAAGTGAGAGACGAGCTCACTGGTTACGAAGGAGGAATTAGTGGTTGCAAAAGAGGAAGGGGGAATGAGATTTAAAGACATGAAATGCTTCAATTTAGTGATGTTGGTGAAACAACTTTGGTCCTCACATCAACGTCCGGAGTCTCTGATTGCGAGGCTTTTAAGGTCAAGTACCACAAGCGCAACACCATACTCTAAGCCAATCTCAGCTATCAACCCAGTTATGTTTGGAGACATTTATTAAGTGCGCATGAGTTTCTTTGTAAGGGATTACTCTGGCGAATTGTAAGGGGTGACCAATGGCTTCCTACTAACGAGCACACTTATGTTACTTCGGCACCCCGGGAGCTGGTGGTGGACTCACTAGTAGGTCAAGGAGTTTTGGAAGCATATATGGACCTTAAATGTTCCCCCGAAGGTCCGTCAGTTTATGTGGCACTTCTCTCATGAAATCCTGCCTACAAGTGAAAAGGTTAGTATATAGGAGTTTTAGGAAAAGTAACTTGTGTCTTATAGCTTATATTATTATGAAACCACAAAGGGGTATATATAGATTACAAGACTTGGACAATAATTAAGAGAACTACAATACTAAAAGGACACGGAAATACTAATAACTATACAAGAAGGATAAGGAAATATAATATTATTCCTAGTCTATCTCTAACCCGCCCCCGCAAGATGATGGTTTGAAGAACAACATCAATCTTGACCAAAATACGCTAATCTTGAAGAACACGCCCCCGTAATGTCATGGTGTAGAATGAGATGCAAATTCGTCAAAATCTTGTGCTTGAAGAACAAAGCCAACTAACCGTCATCTTGGAGTAGAAGAAATCATCAAACTTGCAATTCACACGTTGAAACGAAACTCACTTGCCGTCAAAAGTTGACGAGGATCGAGATGGATGTCTTGGTTTTAACGATACCAATAAACGTAAACTGGTGTAGGACACGAAGAATTCATCCGAATGACTATGGTCGGAGAAATTTCCTTTGTTCCATACACACAAAGGAGAGATGGCTAGAGATTGACTGTGGACTCCATATCTTAAAAGCTCTTGATCATGAAAGAGCTGAAATAAGACACACAAGATACCGGCTGTAAAAGCCAGAGATTCATCTCCGAAGTAAGGCGGCAATGGTCAATATACATGGCACAAAAAATAGCAGAGTTGCCGGCAATGGAAAATAGCGATCATCAATCGGTGAAAGTTGGATTTGGTGAATGACAGTCGGACGCTGTTGGGGACGTGGGACAAGGAAGCAATTAGGGATAGTGGCTAGGGGTGTGGGACAAGGAAACGATTAACAGGTTTTTTTTTTGTTTTTTTAATGAAACAAAAACTATCAAACTAATAAATAAATAAATAAGCAAAGAAGGTAGCTTTTTGAAGAACCAGCGGAAGAACTAGATAGATCCGGGAGAATGTGGAGAAATGTCGTCGGTGTAATGAAACAAGGATGTTTAGTGTTTCTGGATCAACGCTGTTAAGCTATAGGTTCTGATACCATATAGGAGTTTTAGGAATAGTAACTTGTAGCTTGTAGCTTGTATTATTATGAAACCACAAAGGGGTATATATAGATTACAGGACTTGGACAATAAGTAAGAGAACTACAATACTAAAAGGACACAGAAATACTAATAACTATACTAGAAGGACAAGGAAATATAAGATTATTCCTAATCTATCTCTAACATAGTAAACATATTGATAAATAGACTGATGCTTGTCCATTCTGTAACCTTATGAAAACGCATGACCACTTTCTTCAAGGTATGTGATTGGAGTCGTCGGTGGCAAGGGGTGGTGGATATGATGGGATGGGCTGCAAAGATCATGAAGGAACGACCACAGTCTGAGGTTGAAAGCTGGGCCCTGCTGCTATGGGCCCTGTGGAATGAGAGGAACGCGCAACTCTTTAACAAGAAGAAATGGTCGGAGAGCAAAATCGTTACTTGTGCCCAGGCGCTGCTAGAGGAGTATTAGCTATACCAACATCAAATGGACGATATGACGCATGATCAACATTCGGTGAAGTGGCTTCGACCGCCTGAGGGCTGGATAAAAGTGAACATCGATGCTTGAATTTAGCTGGGGGTGGAGCGGGACTGGGGATTGTGGTCCGTGATCATCGCGGACACTTCCTCGTCGCGGCTGCCAAGAAGGTACGTAGAACATTTAGTGTGGAGATGGCAGAAATGCTTGCTGCACAATTCGGGGTTCAACTGGCAAGCCATCTAGATTTGGGTCCGATAATCCTTGAGTTTGATAGTCTCACCATTGTCAACATTCTTCAAGACCTGAGTATAGACTGTACCGAGGTGGAGATTGTGGGTCGTAGTGTGAAGCAATCATTATTCGAACAGGGTCTCATACCGGGATGATACGTCGTACTCGATGGGAAGCAAATAATGCGGCTCATATCATGGCCCATAGTGAAAATAGATGGGATATTAGAGAGGTTTGGCATGATAGGCCTCCGATTTTTTCTTTTTGACCAGTTTAGTCTGGATGATATACCCGCAACTTAGTTTCTTATAATATTTTCAGCAGTTTACTCATAAAAAAACCCATTATTCATGAACTAAATGAGGAATTTGCACTTCAAGGCGGAATTATTTATATGCTTAGTAAATTATCATTTTTTCATTGATAAATAATATTTTTTGCTTGGCGAGGTAGGTATGTGTGGGGCGAGTAGTCCAAAATCATACTTGCCTCATTCCCATCAATATCTTTGTGGAATTTATCTATACCTCCTAAACCTAATCAAAGAGGAAATTTAATGTGTCAACTGGATTGAGAGAGTTCGAATATCTACGATTACGAATTTGATTGTTATCCTACTTGTGCTATTGTCTATTGTATCTGTTTTTGCTTAAAAGAAGTACAACATACAATATCATTCCATTTTTCCTGTAGACTAATTCCACCATTGATGAGAAATGATCATATATAAAGGTAGCCAATTATATACAAAGTTACAAACCGTTAATAAAAAATACAAAGAATTCTAAGTCTATATATGTAATTAATCAATTTTCTGCGTCAATGAAAACAACCCTCCAAATAAAGACGTAGCAAGTCAAAAGCTAAAAACGATAAAGAGAGAATGAGAGGCATGGTAAAGAGGAAGCCGGCAGGCAGCCCACCACCATCATCATTAATGCTTCCAATCAATAATTTGACCTCCAATCTCATCACATATATTTAAATCACAATTAACCGATCACAATAATAATAATTATTAGCTAATAATTAAAGAATTGCATCGGCAATCTCAACAGACTTTTATAAACAAACCCAATACTACTTCACGTTCAACACTCGCTTTTAATTTCCTCCCCTCTTAACCAGGAACAGGCAGTTTCCTCCTCTTCTCTAAATTCCATGCACTCTCTCCCTCCTTCTCATCAATCTTCAGCTTCTCACTGATCTGACTGACAGATCTATCTAGCTTAGAGAAAGAAAGAAAAAAAAAATGCTTGAAACTCACAAGCCGAGCCCTCTCCTCATCAACACGACGGAGGATAATTACCACGGCGGCTCCCCGGCCGCCGTCCCCTTCACGTGGGAATCCCAGCCGGGGACTCCCAAGGTCAGTTTCCGCCGCCGCGACGCCACCCTCCCTCCGCCTCCGCCTCTCACTCCGCCGCCTTCCTACTTCTGCTCCGCTTCTCCCAATCATCACCACAGCGCCGCCACCCCGAAAAGATTCCCATCTCCATCCCATCCCGCCACGTGGAACAACAACAGCAAGAAGAAGAAGAATCTCCTCGACACTCTCTTCTTCACCAGACGAAGCAGCAACAAGTACAGCAAGGCAACTTCAAATACGGCGCCGTTTTCATCTCCCGTGTATTCTTCCTCCTCCTCGTATTCTTCCTCGTCGTCAACGACGACGTCACGCTCCGTTCCTTCTTCCCCAGTCACTGCCCGGCCGTCTTCACAGCAGAGGAACGGCCACGTGGCAGCAGTAGCTTCCGGCCCGAAGAAGTCGTTCGGCGATATGCTACTAACGGGGAACCAACGTCATCGCGAGGATGAAGAGGAGGATGAGTGCGATTCGCCGGTTTCCACGCTCTGCTTCGGAGCGGGCCGTGGGCCCAGTAATTCCAGGGCCCGGCCCGGATGCTACGGATCCTTCATGAAAGTATTGATCAGCGCTTAATTGGGCTTGGACATGTGAGGACTCAATTGTAATATTCTCTCGTTCAATGATGATGTTTTAGGGTTTCATAAAATCAAGCTAATTATATATTATGTACGTAATTAGCTAGGATCTGAATTGAACGTTTTTTTTTTTGGGAGCAATGTTGGGAGCACTTCGGCAGCTTGGTAGCTAGTTGCATATGCTATGTAATGCCATTTGCCTGGTATAAGAAATCGAAAGCAAAGCTTTATAATAATCATCGTTAATTAGTTTGCTAGCTTTAGTTTGTCGCATTACTTGTTTAGTTTGTTTTATTTCTTTCTGAAGTTAGGTCGTGCATATACATATACCTCGTAAATTAGTTTCAGATCTTGGAAATTTGTCGAGATTTGATGAGGATTAATCCCTGAAATGAAGTACAACAAGCTATTTGAAATGGAATTTTCAAAATTAGTTAAGTTGTTATATATGCTTGGATTAAACATGACTGCGGTACCTAGGCACCGGATCGGGCAACTCACGGGCTAGCACGACATTACACGGTTAAAATATGAGCTTGGGCATGAAATAGATAGGCCAACCTGACACGGAAAAAACAAGTCCGAAGTTAAATCCCAAAATAAAACTACAAAAATAATTATTTAATGTTGTTAGAAGTGGCGATGAAGATATTATATGTAATTGTTACAATAAGTAAAAATGGTTGAAGAATTAACCCAAATTACGCTGCTATACTTTCAATTTTCTTCTTTTCCTTATTTGTTACTTTTCTCAAACATTCTCAATTAATACTTTTATTTTCCATCTAATGTGCTCCTTCTTTTTCATTCCCTATTTTATTTTTCTTTTCTTTTAGTTTGGCACTAATATGAGCACGAGATGAGCACGAGTAGGCATGACACAACTCAAATTTTATTTGGGCGGGGTATAGTAAATTTGAAAAAAGAGTTGGCACGACATGAGAAGAAAACTGTTGGGCCTTGTCAAACACGACACAAGATAAACAGGCCAGAAGCGTGCCTATATTGTGCTGGCCCAAACATTACCCAACGCATAGGTACAAACATGAGAGAATTGGGGGGGATCAAAATTCTGATAATGTGATTTCAGTTGTCCCGACAACTATCTATCACCACAAGAAATGAAGTACACCAAGTGTTCGGTGTAAGTAAGTAAGCAATATAAGATTCATATATAAATAATTCGAGTAGTTATCAAAACTAGTTAATTTGTGACGTGATATAAGAGCTTGTTTAACTGTGCACTCCTATGTTCATGTTATTACAATGGCAATGGGGGAGGAGCAAGAATTTGACGCTCAAGGAGCCGGAATTTCTTACTTCTCTTTCAACTCTTGTCCTTGATCTGTCTTAATAACCTGAGATTTGTTAAACTGGTTATGTACCATAATACAAAAGGATTATAGTAAAGCTCTTAACTCATCTTTTGACTTCGTTCACTCACATTAGATCATCAACAATGATTAAGAAATAACTGAACTCATATTGCTTAAAGGTCCCAATTATCCACATTCATAAAAGTAAAACAATGAAGGGTGAGCAGAAGTGCTAACAAGAAATGAAGATCTTTCCAGTTTTCTTAAAAGTCATACATCATAATCGGTGGGATCCAAAACTAAATGTGCCATCTTTTCGGAATATAAATAAATATTTGTTGAATATAATTAAAATTAATAATAATAAAATAATTTATTCACATATAATAAAAAAAACCTACTAATACAATATTTTCATAAACAATCACGGTCCTTTTTCATATTTAAAAAGAAATGCAAAATATATTCTTTGTAAGTTGTAATGATGCTACCCCTCCCTCCCTCCCCCAAATGTGGATAGCGGATCACCTTGTTTTGATAAGGGTGAATGAGTGAACAATTTAACCATTAATAGGTAAAGACTTATGAATCAAGTGAATAAGGACCTAGACAATGGTATAATCATTGGTGTAAACCCGGAAGTTCCATATTCAAATCTCATAAGTAGCACCTAATAATAAAAAAATAAATCTGTATCACCCTTATAAATTTACTACTTATTTAAAAGACTACATGTGCGAGGGAATGTAAATTAGATAATAAGCATGATACCATACCAAGGGGATGTAGCTCAGATGGTAGAGCGCTCGCTTAGCATGCGAGAGGTACGGGGATCGATACCCCGCATCTCCAATTTTTGTATTGTTTGAGTTTTAAAGTTGATGTTTTATTTTGTCGATGGCAAATTAAATCGTGATGGGGCGGGTATCATTCGACCCGACCCACAGTAGCGTGAGTCGAGGCATGGGTATCTACTTTCAATTCGAACTGTCCCGTTCTTGACAAATTTTATCTCAATTTCTTAGAATATTTATTCATATTTTGACTTTTCTTCAACTAGTTAGATTTTATCATTCAACTAGTTAGACTCAATTAACTATGCTATTATCACTATTTTTCATTTAGAAAGTATTTTTCCTTTTGTTTTATCATAAAAAGTAAAAATATGTGTATATATTTTCAAATAACATGTAGAAGTGGGTTGACCCACGTTTGATACAAATATTACTCGCCTCGACCCGTACTTGGTGCAGAGCAAGTATGAGTACTATTAAGGTAGCCGACCTCGCTATCCCAGTGCCATCACCAACAACTATGGTTAGGACAGTTCACAACCCCTCTCCCTCTCCCTCCACCTATGATGATAATGAATATATAAAAATACCCATTGCTGCTAAGTTGATGGGTTCATAACCATTATGACTCCTTGTTACTAGGATGACAATGGGTCGGGTTGAGGCGGGTTTTGTCAAACCTAAATCCAAATCCATGACTTTATCCGTAAAAAAAAACTCGGAATAAAACCCGTTGGGTTTGAAAAACTTAAACCCAACTGGGTATCCGCGGGTTCATGGGTACCCGTGGATTTTTGTGGTAAAAATTTTACAATAACAAGTTTTTTTTCAAAATAAAAGTTTAACATCAATTTTCTCATACAAATTATTCATACAAAAACCACCAATGTAGAGCATACAAGCTGTCGCAACCGTCCCTCCGGGGGTCCGCATGGGGTCGCGTCGGCATTTTTGGGAGTCACCATCGATCTTACTTGGAGTGGATCGAACACTCTTTGATCGGCTCTAGCCTTAGGGTCAGAACCGAGATATGGTACGGTTACGTTTGGGGAAGTGAATTCACACCCCACAACGCCCTAAATCGGTACTACTTAAGTCGATAAGTTTTTATACGAGTTGGGTGTATTTTGGTAATAATTTTGTAATTTTTGGGTCCCCCTGGACCATTAAATAATTTTAATCATATAGCTGTAGTTTAATTATACGCCCACTGACTTAAAAATTTAAAGATAAAGTTGATTGGTTAGTTGGACTCGAACCTTATCGGTTGCCTACGTACCCGTATCACGGGATCAAAGTCCACGTAGTTCGTTATAACTTTGATAGTTTAATTGTATGACTTTGGTCACGTTATACCTTAATGGTTCTCGTATTAAGGGTTTTTATTAACTTTGATAGTTTTAATCCTAACTTTTATCACGTTCCACGGAACGTTATTTGCATTATAATTTTGGTAATAGAATTTTAGTTAGATTATTATGATGTTACTAAAATGAAAGCAAGAATATTAATTATTAAGAAATAATTCGATGTGTCAGACAAGAACCAAAACTAACTTAATCCGCATTTCACATTTCGTATTAAGGACTTTTAAACAAATAAAACTAAGCGGGATGGTTAAATTAACGCAAGATGGGCCAGCAGCCCAATTGGCTAAGTTGCCAGCCAATAGGTCGTGTTCGACTCGGAGAACGGGGTTCGAAACATGTTATCTACAATTGTTTTTGGTTCTCGTTTTAGTGTAGAGATGGGGGAAGGGCAGCTTGGTAATTACTCAAAAGGACGGTGGCAAAGCCACGTAATTTGTTAGAAACCCTAAGGGCATTTTGGTATTTGTAATTAATGAGGTATATAAACATCTTTTGAAAACCCTAATCCTAAAACTAAACAAAGAGGCAACCGCCTCTCACTCCTCCACTCTCTCGATTCTTCTCCTCTCTCCTCTCTTCTTCAGAGAAACAAAACCCTAGGCAAAAACTAGCGCTGCCCTCATCCTCTTCTCCCTCGTCTCAATCCACTCTCCCTCTCCATCTTTCGTCTCTCTTGCAGAAGCAAACCAAAACCCCCAGCAGATCTAGAGGCGGCTGCTTCTCACCCCCTCTCTCTCTCGGTTTCTTTCTAGAGAACGACCCCCAGAGAAGAGAGGCTCTGCCCTCTCCAACTCTCTCCTTCTCGTTTCTTCTACTTCATCCCAGAAACAAAATAAAAAACATAATCCTCTTCCTATGCTGCCGCCATCCCCTCCTTTCAATCTCTCTGTTTCTCGCCTCTGCCTCAAGGAAACGAGAACATAAAGCTGACCACAAGCCGCCTACGACCGCGGCAAGACGACGACAAGAAAGGCGACCTGAATCAACTTCAATCGACGGGAGGCATGTCGATCCAGGTTGGGATTTTTGCATGCATGTTATTTTCGGGCGCTTTATTTGTTGATTTTGAGGAGTTTTAGGGTTCTAATCGCTTTTTATTTGTGTTTTTTTTTGTGTGGGGGGTTTGGATCTAGATTGACAGATAGGAGAGCTATAAATCACCACTGCCGACAGACGAAGATGGCTGAGAAGAAGGCACGGCGGAGCCAGAAGATGGATCCCTCGGTGATGGCGGCGATGGTGAGTGAATCCTAGGTAAGTTTCACTAGTTGCATGTTCCGATTCCTGGTTTTTTAGTTGATTTGAGGTTCTGATATATATATATATTTTGGTTTACTTTGGTTTTTTTACGGGAGGAAAAACGGAGGATGGCGACGGCCATAGACTCCGTCGACGACGAAAACGGTGTTGGTTTGACGACAGCTATCGCAGGTATGAATTTTATTTTTGTTTCGGTTTATTACCTCTTTAATCTATTGTGACCTCTACTTTTGTTTTGATGCATTTATTGGAAATGGACAGATCTGGGTAAGGTTGTCCTAAACTCGGGTTAATATGATTGGGGTGGTTGAACTAAAAAAGGAAAGGATTGTGTTTCGGTTTAGATTTGGTTTACAGATCTGTGGTTTGGAAATATGTTGTATGTGTGTTTGATGATCTCGAATATTTTCATGCTTGGTGGTTTAATGGATGGTTTTAGAAGTAACTCCTAATATGCTAGAATTTGCTAAAAAAAATAATTTCTGGG